TGCGCCAGGCTCCCCGTGAGTGGCATGACACGCTGCGTGCTACGCTTGCTGACCTGCAGTTCTTTCCGTCCTCTGCAGACCCCTCGCTCTTCGTTCGTGCTGGCCAGACCCCGTTCTACATCCTTGTTTACGTAGACGACCTGGTCTTCGCCACAGCAGACAGGGACGCACTTGCCTCCGTGAAGGCAGAGCTGCTGAAGAGACACACCTGCACTAACCTTGGAGAACTGCACCACTACCTTGGCTTGCAGATCTCCAGGGACAGAGCAGCGCGCACTATCACTTTGACTCAGTCACACTTGGTGCGCCAGGTCCTTCAGAGGTTCGGCCTTCAGATCTCCTCCGCACAGCCCACTCCTCTGCCCCTAGACCACAGGCTCTCTGCTCTAGTTCCTGAGGAGTCTACAGAGCCCAGTGGTCCTTACGCAGAGCTGGTGGGTTGCCTCATGTACCTGATGACTTGCACTCGCCCAGATCTCGCACACCCTCTCAGCATCCTGGCTCGCTTTGTGGCTACAAGCAGACACTGACCTCAGCACTGGTCTGCCGCTAAGAGGGTTTTGCGTTATCTTGCAAGTACATCGGGCATGGGGTTAGTGCTAGGAGGACGCAGGCCAGTGGTCCTTACTGAACACACAGACGCTTCTTGGGCAGACGACGCCGAGACCCTCAGGTCCTCGCAGGGCTACAGCTTCAGCCTTGGTTCAGGTGCCGTCTCGTGGAGAGGTACCCGCTCCTCGTCTGTTGCCCAGTCCAGCTGTGAGGCCGAGATCTACGCCAGTGGCATGGTGGCACAGGAGCTCCGCTGGCTGACCTTCTTGCTCACTGACTTGGGTGAGCGGCCTAGCTCTGCCCTGGTCCTGTACGCTGACAACAGGGCCATGATCCTCCTGTGTCAGCAGCCTCGACTCGAGGGCAGAGCGAAGCACATCCAAGTGCGGTACTTCCTCCTGCGTGAGCTCCAGCAGTGCCGCCAGGTGCGCGTAGTACACTTGGCCTCCGGTGCCAACACAGCTGATATCTTTACGAAGGCGCTTGCGCCTAAAGATCATCAGCGGCACTGTGTACAGCTAGGTCTCGTTCCTGTAGCCTCTCACTTGCTAGGGTCTTGATTTTGTACTGTCCTTTATATATATATATATATATATATATATATATTTTTTTTTCCCTGACTGGCCTTGTGGCCTCTCCCAGTGGCTGGACTAGTAGTGCCGCCCTGATCTTGCTCTTGCCTTGTCTGTATTCCTTTGACTGGTCTTTAGACCCTTGTCTCAGAGGCTGGACTAGTAGTGCCGCCCTGAGCTGCTTCTTCCCTTGTTAGGCACTGCCCCTATATAGTCTAGGATGTGTGTCAAACATAGCTTATGCAGTTACTGTAGACTACCGTAATCCCCCGTATATAACACCCTAGGATATTGTCAAAATTTCATAAAAAAAAACGTATGGGTGTTAACAGTAGGCTGGAAAAATATAACGCCCATATCTTATGTAAAATGCAAAATGAATTTGGGTTGTAACAGGCTCTATGAGAAGCATGAAACACAATGTAGCTTTTAGCGAGGTTCGGATGACAGCCACGCACCTCCACTAGGACCAGCCTGTCAGTTATGTGTTGGCATTCTGTATTTGTGGCCAATCGGAGTCAGCCGCACCTGCAAACACGATAGGGAAGGAGCCTCATGCTGCTGACACAGATTCATCGACGGCCAGGGGGCCATTATAGTGCCAGCCTGACATCGACGTGCCAAAGTGCTTGACCAGATTCCTTTAGGGAATCTGGTAGATGGGACCAGCATGCAGTGTCCCATCACGTTTTCCAAGACCGTGCACGACTCGGCTTTGGGGGTCGGCCACGGTTCTTCTCCAACCTCTTCTTGCCGCATCGTCATTTTTGCTTTTCGATCGGCTCGCTCACTCTCAAAACCTGTCGCAGTGCCCGGGCTCTCTAACAGAGGCTCGGACATTGCTCAATGTCGCTTAGCACCGATACCTTTTCGTCTAGCATTCGATCCATGGCCGCTCAAGCAGTTAGTGGTGTTGCCTTGTTGCGACCTCATCGCCCTCAGTTTGGGAACCAGACTTTGCTTAGGCCGTTCCCACCAGTTCCACCGTCTCCAAGAACTTTTTCGGCAGCTCCCGCACCTCCTGCTCCACCTGCCCCGCCCGCACCACCTGCGCCACCTGCTCCTCCTGCCCCACCGGCGCCGCCCGCTCCTCCTGCTCCACCTGGTCATTGGTCGCCAATAGCCACTCGTCCCCCGGAGTGGGACAACGCGTGGCAAGATGACGATGACGAGCTCTACTGGGAGGAGGCCGCCGACGGCGAGCCTGAACCTCCCCGCCCGCTTCCTCGCGTTGTCGTTCCCCGTTTCCCACAAGCACAACATCGTCCTACCATGCCCAGGGTTAACCGTGATGCTGCACCTCCCTCCCCCAGGGTTCGCAGGACGAATCGAAAGCGAGTCGCGCGGACGGCTACCGAGAAGCTCTACTGGCTGGCGAGGATGGAGGCTGATCCGGATTTGTCCAAGCGCTCTCTCGCTCGCATGGCTGGAGTGCAACCGTGCCAGATTCGTGACTGGAAGAGAAACAAGGCTCGCCTCACTGCTGCTGCTGGTTGCAGGCGTCGTCTCATCGGCTCCGGAAGAAAGTCGAAGTACCCGACGATGGAGCGAGAGATTTACAAGAAGTTCCTTGGACATCGCGCGCGTGGGCTAGCTGTCTCGATCAGCACGCTGCAGAAATGGAGCCGGAAGTACATGAGGAAGCACCACCCCGGCGTGGACTGGCGTGCCTCCTCGCGCTGGACGTTCAGGTTCCGCGCCCGCTGGGGATTGACGAAGCGCGTGAAGACAAAGATGGGCCAACGCATGACCGCCGGTTAGCTGTCGTCGTTGTATCTCGTGGTCTTTCCCCTCTTGCCACTCTATTTCCATGTTGCATTGAAGTGACACCTGTTACAGTCAACTGAGTTGCTTCCTGGCCGTTTATTAATGATGCTTTGTTTTCTTGTATCCTGTCTTTTTACACTGGCAGACTGTGAAGCCAAGGTTGAGAAATTCTGGGAGTTCGTTCGGCAACTCCGCATGCTGAACGAGTACCCCGACGACCTGATTATCAACGCCGATCAGACGCCACTCTTCCTGGAGATGCCGCAGGAAACCACCCTTGAGGTCCGCGGTTCAAAAACAGTTCATGTGCGGACAGCCGGGTACGAGAAGGAGAGATTGACCGTCATGCTGGCAGTCACAGCAAGCGGCAAAAAACTAAAGCCGTATGTCATCTTCAAGCGGAAAACTCTGCCGCGCATCCGAGTCCCACCAGGTAATAATAATTTGTAACTATTTACGGTTGCGTTTAGTAAATATTCTTTCACCAAGATGACGACGACCACTAATTATCTCGCTTTATTTGCATGTGCAGGGATTGTCATCAAAGCCCAGGAGAAGGGCTGGATGGACGAGGCGCACGTGAAGGATTGGGTCACCACCGTCCTCGTGCCATTCTTGCGCACCATCCCTGCGAGGCGTGGTGGCCGTCAGAAGGCGCTGGTGGTCCTCGACTCATACAAGGGACACCTCACTGAGGGAGTGTCTCAGTTGATGCGCTTGTTCAAGCTCTCCCGTGCAGTCATTCCCGGCGGATGCACGCCTATCGTACAGCCTTTGGACGTGGCAGTCAACCGTTGCGTCAAGGCGCACGTTCGTCGATCATACAGCGAGTGGTTCGAAGAGTTCGGCTGCGAGTCGACCACTACAGCTGGCGAGCACATGTTTTGTTGTCGACGTGTTTTCTATGATTAGTTTTTTGTCGTGTGATTCACATAGCTTGCGTTTGCCCCGTTATTTATTCAAGACTAACTATCATGCCCTGTCTGTTTCTGCATGGCAGGGAACCTGCGCAAACCACCGGCCGAGCTTGTGTTGCAGTGGATCGCTGACGCATGGGCTGCGGTGCCGGCAGAACTCATCCGCCGCGCGTTCAAGACGTGCGGCATCTCCAACGCGACCGACGGCACAGAGGACGAGGTGATTCTTGCCCACATGCGGGACGACGCGGAGGTCGAGGTAATGGACGATGTGCACGCCGAAATGGAGGAGACTGGGGCGCAGAATCCCTTCTACGACGTGGAGTACATCGAGCCCAGCGCTGCGCCAGACGTGGAGGACGACGAGCCAGATGTGGAGACCGACATTGATGCTGCGGCTTCTGCCTCATCCTCTGGAACGCCGCAGGCGGATGTCGAAGGAGCAACAGCAGCAGCAGCAGACTCGTCCTTGGACACGGCAGCATGTGCAACAGCAAAAGCCTCAGCAACAGCAGCAACAGGAGCAGAGGTCCCTGCTGGCGAAGATGACGGAGAGATGCCGGCGGCGGAGGTTCTTGCTGGCCTAGCTGCGTCCCGCTGGACTGATGATTTCGACTGGGATGATATTGCCTCCGACGATGAAGATGTCGAGGTGTGGCATGCTGGAGAGGAATACTATGAGGAGGAGGATTGATAGTAGAGACGTAAATATTGACTAGAATTGATGTCATATTGTAGACGCTGTAGAGTACGCCATGTGGTAGGTGTAGCTAGCATTGGTAGATAAGCTCTGAGTAATTTGCTGCAACTGATGCTCTAACAATATAAAACAACGAGGATTTAACTTGAAAAAACGCTGGAGGGTGTTATGTACAATGCAAGGTCTAAAAAACGGGTGCTCTCATAAATGTACCGTATCATAAGCTATGACCCGCATATGCCACCCATGGAGTGACTATTTCGGCGGGTGTTATATACGGGGGAATACGGTATATATGTTTGTGCCTTAGTGGGTACAACTCTCTAGACTATATTGCCTTGTATCTCACCACTCTAATAATTCATTCTTTCTGTTAGTTCTCACCTATACTAGTCATTCTAGTATTCTAACACGCTTATGACCAGAGTTATTATTTTGGAAACAGAGAAAAACCCTGAAAAACCAGAGTTAGTGCTCCAGGTAATCCTGAAAATCAGTGGCACAGATTTCACTAGTGAAAATCAGAGTGGTAAAAATCAGAAGTCAGCACTGGTTGTTGTGACTGAACCTGAAATGCTAAGTTACAGTGTGGATTTCCCAGCCCGGAACAAGGCCCTGCCGAGCAGAGCCTAGAAGAGAGCATATGATTTTAATCAAACAGCCTCTCCCCTGTTGCAAAAGCACAGAAAATTGCAGCGCTAAGCACACAGAGTCCAGCTGGCGTAACAAACGCAAGAAACCATCCGAACTCAATGTCCGCCTTCCACGCCTGCAGAATCAACCCCGTTGCTGCCACACCCACAATACCCGCCAGTGTCCCTGCAGTATTGGAAATGCCCATAACAGGGCCCGCATACCTCGGTGCTATGTCCATATGGTTCACTGAGAAGCCCGCTCGTGCAAATGCACACGCACCCAGAGTTATGGTTGAGCATAAAATGGCTCCGGTGACTGATGAAAGAACGGGCATCAGGCAGAGCGCCAGAGCACCGATGAGGAACCCAACTGTGTTCAGAACCTTCCGCGTAGCTGCGATGGAGAGGTATTGCGAGGTGATGAGGAAATCAGCGGCCACGCCACCGACATTGGAGAAGATCATCATGATGTAGTACGGGAGGGCCTTGCCGATGCCGATGCTCTGCAGCGACGTGTGCAGCGCTTGCTCAAAGTAGGAGGGGAGCCAGTTCATAAGCACGTACAGTGCATAATGAAAAGTGTAGTTGTTGATAACTATAGCCCAAATGGCCCAGCTGCTCATCATGGCTCCCCAGGGAATTGCCTTACTGGAATGGCTACCACCGCCACTGCCACCGCTGCTACAACTGCTGCCGCTGCTGCCACCGCTCCCAACCGCACTGTCGTTCAGATAATCATCCTGCAACAGGTCATGCTTGCTACCCGGTAAGCGGGGCGACAGCGGGGTTCCGTCCCCGCTGCTGATGCTGCCACTCCCCCTTCCCATCCCTCCCCCGCCCGGCGGATCCTTGGAGAACAGCCGCACCCACAGCACCACCCACATCAACCCCAACCCCGCAGACAGGCGAAACACCGCCGCCGGCCCGCCCCAGGGCGCGTCTGCTGCCGCTACAGCCGGCATGAGAGACATGGCGGCGCCGGCTCCCAGGTACATCCCTGACATGGTTAGACTCACGGCGCGCGACTTCTCGTGCGGCGGGATGCAGAGGGCGAGCACGGTGTGGATGGAGGGGAAGATGAAGCCCTGCGTGGCGCCGACCAGGAAGCGGATGAGCACGAGGGAGAGCAGCGCGGGGGAGGCGAGGGAGGAGGAGGTGGGGTTGGCGGGGGTGAGGAGGGAGAGGGCGGTCCAGGCGAGGAAGGCCACGGTGATGACTCTACGCCCCCCGAATTGTTGAGCTGCGGAACTGCCTGGGACCTGGAAGTGGGAAGTGGGGCAGAAAGGATGGGCGAAGTGGGGAAAGGATGGGCGAAGTGGGGATAGGATGGGCGAAGTGGGGATAGGATGGGCGAAGTGGGGATAGGATGGGCGAAGTGGGGATAGGATGGGCGAAGTGGGGATAGGATGGGCGAAGTGGGGAAAGGATGGGCGAAGTGGGGATAGGATGGGCGAATGGGGATAGGATGGGCGAAGTGGGGATAGGATGGGCGAATGGGGATAGGATGGGCGAATGGGGATAGGATGGGCGAATGGGGATAGGATGGGCGAATGGGGATAGGATGGGCGAATGGGGATGCAGAGGGCGAGCACGGGAGAGGGCGGTCCAGGCGAGGGAGGCCACAGGGATGACTCGCCGGCCGCCGAACCATTGTGCAACAGAGCTGCCTGGGACTTGGAAGTGAAATGGGGGGGGAAGAGTAGGAGTGAGGAGGGAGAGAGGGAGAAGAGGGAGGAGGGAAAGGACAGTCCAGGAGGAGGGCGACGGTGATGACCCGCTGCCCTCCGAGTCGTTCAGCGGCGGAACTGCCTGGAACCTGACCATGACAGGGGAGGGGGAGTGGAGGGGGGGGGAAGAGGAGGACAGGAGTGTGGGCCCAAGCATGCACCACGCGCCACACATCCTTGCGAGGAGGGCGACGGTGATCTCCCGCGGGCCCCTGAGTCCCTGCGCTGCAGAGCAGAGCTGCATGGGACCTGGAAGCGAGATGACGGGAGGGGAGGAGAGGATGGGAGAGTGCATTGAAGCATTCACCAGCACTCCGCCTCCAGGCGAGGAAGAGGAAGGCCGTGGTGATGAAGAGCTGGCCCTTGAAACGCTGCGCTGCAGAGCTGCCTGGAACCTGGAAGTGAAACGGGGGGGAACGAGAATGAGAGAGAGAATGAGAAAGTGGATCCAGGCATCCACCAGAGGGTGATGACCCGCCGGCCTCCTTCTTCGCACGGAGGCGGAGTGGACGTGGGAGGAGGGAGCGGGAGCGGCAGGACAGTGCCAAGCATTCACCACCCCTTTCACCCCCAGGCGAGCAAGGCCATGCTGATGATCCGCGGGCCTCCAAAGCGCTGAGCGGCAGACCCACCTGCGCCTTGACGGTGGGGCGAGGGGAGGAAAGGATGGGAGGTATGGGGATGCAGAAAGGCGAGAGGGCCGCAGAAAGGCGCCAAGCGTTCACCATTCCCTGCACCTCCACGCGAGGCAGGAGACGGGGATGGATCCGCGGCCTCCAAAGCTTTGAGCAGGGAGGGGAGATCGGATTGGCAGAACGATGCGCGGCTCTCTCTCCCCTGCATCCCCAGAACTGCCTGGGATGAGATAGCGTGTGTGTGGAGGCAAGAGGAGGGAATGGGCGAGGGAGGAGAGAGGGATGAATCCGGGGCCCACAAACGTTGAGCAGCCGAACCACCGGGGGCCTGATGGTGTGTGGAGGTGGGAGGATGGGCCGGGAGCAGCACAAGGGAAGCAGCGACAGAGAGCGGCAAGGTGGTGCCAGGAATTCAACGAAACACCGCAGCAAGATTCTACACTCTCAATGGACCCGCAACGCGCCCACCTGGGAGAGGGCGCATCCGCAGCACACCCACCTGGGAAAGGGCATATCCGCAACGTACCCACCTGAGAAAGCGCGTATCCGCAACGCACCCACCTGGGAGAGGGCGTATCCGTAGTAGAAAGCGGAGAGCACCCATCCCTTGGTGGCCTGATCCACGTGGTTGCGGTTAGCTACTAACGAGTACGCGACGCTGAACCCCACGCGCTCGATATAGCACACAGTGGTGCATGCTGCCGTCAGCAGCACCACCACGTATCGCTGTGGCATGCGCGCCAGGCACCGCCGAAACCGCGGAAACCCTAGAAAACCTAATAACGAGGATGCGGGTGGACGGGTCTGCCAGGGCGTCGGGTGGTGGCTTGGCATGGCCGTTGCACCACGGGTCGCGGTGGTGTTGGTGGTGCTGACGGCGCTGGATGAGAAGCAGCAGCGCCTATGAAAAGGCTCTACATGCTGGTTGATGAGATTGTGGAATTGCTATCGCTGGTGTGGTTAAAACAGAACCCGCGGAAGCTTTTGTAGACGGTAGGCGGCGTTAGATTCTCAACGACATAGAAGTTCGCGCTGGGGAGAAAAGCGGCGAGCGTTACATGCGGTTGCTAGCATAGTCTAAGGGCGTCGTACATAGCACTTGAGGTTGTGTTTTCCGAACACCGTCACGAATCTGGCGTGTTCGTTCAGGCCGCTCCGATATTCGCACAACGCCGAGAATTGCCAGCCATATCCGCTTTCATCGATTTGGAACATCATGTACCAACTCCAGATTTCCAAATCCGAATGTTCGAACGGTGTGCGACGACGCCCGCGATTTGCTGCGACACAACCACATTCATAATTTTCACGTCGCCTGGGTTTCCTTCTGTCGCACGCGCGACTGGCATTTTTTGCCATCCAATTCGGACAGTGCCGGGAAGGCCGTTCGTATGGTGATGTTTGGGCTGGATGTACCAAAATGGCCCACATTCACGAGGGATTCGCGAGGGGACTCGCGAGTTGCCAAACGAGTTCACCGAAGCAGGTAACCAGACTAAAATCCGAACACCGTTCGGATTCACCATTTGGATGTTTCATGTCTTAAAGCGTGGGTCTTGAAACCCCCCAACTCAAAAACTCGGGTTTTGACTCGGGGGGCATTTTGGCTGGGGCTCAAAACCTTAGGTTTTGACTTTAGGGGGTTTCGAGATCCTTGCTTTAAAGCGAGCTCACAGAATAACTTCAAGGTTCAAAGTGTTTTGAACCTGTCGAGTGGTGACACGAAACACCCCTCGCACAAAACAGACTTGGTAACCCAGTTGGGGCACGAAGTGGGGAAAACGGCAGGGGGGGGGTTCTGATTGACCGCGCAACAGCCGTGCGACGCAGCCAGCCCATCCAAAAAGAAAAGCATCTCCCCCTCACACCAAGACGCAAAGCATATTGGCTTCTTTTCTGTGCTCCCGAGACAATGCTCCATCCCCGCCATTTTCGCAACCACACACAGCGCGAGGCCACCACTTTCGTAGTTTGTTAGAACGGTGCGGGAAAATAATGAATGAGCCAGAGTTTACCTAACTTACGGCGCAGCAGGTCCGTGCTTAGATGTCGTTACTGCACCCCCTCATGGGAAGTCTCTTTCTCCCCGTATGTTAGTCCCTCAATAGCTCGTGTCACAGACACCGCAGGGTGCGCCTCGCAAATACCTAGGCCGCCCGCCCCTCGATTACCCAGCCAGCGCGCCACTCGATTACCGAGCCAGAACTCTCGCTTTCTCGCTTCCAGCTTTCCCGCATATCCGCTTTCCCGTTGGACCCTGGTCGTGTTTCCCACATCCGCGTCGCCACGGTCCTGCTGTCCCCTTTCCCTGCTTCCCCGCTTCCCCGCTTCCTCGCTTCCCCACGCTCTCGCGTCCCCTCTTCCCCGCTTTCCCGCCTTCCCGCTTCCCCGCTACCCCGCTTCCCTGCGATCCCGCTTTCCCGCTTCCATGCTTCCCCGCACTCCCGCTTTCCCGCCATCCCGCTTCCCCAGTATCCCGCTTTCCCGCTTCCACGCTTCCCCGCATTCCCGCTTCCCCGCTATCCCACTTCCCCGCTTTCCCGCCTCCCCGCTATCCCGCCTTTCTCACTTCCATGCTTCCCCGCATTCCCACTTCCCCCCACTCCGCGCATCCCTCGCACTCCGTCTCTTTCTTTCACTCCCTCCATTTCTCTCCCTCCTCTGCTTTGCCTACCTCGCTCTCTCCCCCGCACCCTAACCACCTCTCTCCCCCCACACTTCCCACCGCTCACCCCCACGCTGCCCATCTTTTCTTTCACCCCCTCACTGCCCAACTCTCTCCCATGCCGCTCTGCCCACCTCTCTCCCCCACGTTGGAGCCCACCTTTCCCCCCCTTTCCTAAGCGTTCTCCCCCGCACCCCTGCTCACCCCTCCTCTACCATGGCCCCACGCGTATCCCTTCCTTACCGCGCAGTTCTTCCGTCCAGTCCCTGCTCCTATCCCTTCCTCCCCTCGTGCTGCTGCCTTCCGTTTCCCGCACCCCTTCCCTTCCACCCCATCCGCCCGGTATCACTCTCTTTCACTCCATCTTACAGCCACGTTCCATCATTTCACCACCAGAGGCATCCTTCACAACACCACCCGTGGTTACCCAGAGAGTACGCGGCTTCGCGTGCATCTTTTCTCATTCCCCCATGCTCACTCCCCCTCTCCCATGCTCACTCCCCCTGTCCCATGGAGACTGTTGCGTGTTCTGGCTGCGGCCAACCGTTCTGTAATACAATGAGAAGCAACGCTACTATTGCAAACGTCCGGGCAGACATGGAGAACAAGGCTTGGGGGGGTAGCGCCAATAGTACCAGCGACAAACACGGGTGTTGCACGCAAATTTCTGACAGAGTCCAGCCACGCATCCACAATCAACTGACACAACCGTCACAGTATCCATGGCAGCAACCGCACTCCCACCCTCAGTCCGGTGTACCCTTCTTGGCGCGACGCATGGCGGTGAGGTGGGATCTGAGGCTGAGAGCATTCCCTGGAAGGTTATGGCAAGTGGGATAGGGAGGGGGGAAACATATGGGGGTGGGGGAAGTTGAGCCCTGGTTGAGGGGGGAAGGTCAGCTCAGAGAGGGTGAGAAACCCGCTCTGGCGTGGGAGGAAGCTATGCTCAGACTGGGGAGAAGACGTGCCCTCGTTAGGGCGGGGGGGGGGAGGTGAGCTCAGAGTGGGGGGGAGTCCCGCTCTGGTGTGGGGGTGGCCACAAACAGGGGGGAAGGTGAGCTCAGTCAGGAGGGAAGTGCCGATCTGGTGTGGGGGGGAGGTGGGTTCAGACAGGGGGGAAGATTAGCCCTGGTTGGGGGTGAAGGTGAGCTCAGAGTGGGGGGAAGTGCCGATCTGGTGTGAAGGGGAGGTGGGCTCAAACAGGGGGGAAGGTGAGCGTTGATTGGGGGGGGAAGGTGAGCTCAGAGAGGGGGGGAAGGTGAGCCCAGATAGGGGGGGAAGGTGAGCTCAGACAGGAGGGAGTTGCCAATCCGGTGTGTGGGGGAGGTGGGTTCAGACAGGGAGGAAGATTAGCCCTGGTTGGGGGGGGAAGGTGAGCTCAGAGAGGGGGGGAAACCCGCTCTGCCGTGTGGAAACTATGCTCAGTCAGGGGGGAAGATGAGCCCTGGTTGGGGGGGATGGTGAGCTCAGAGAGGGGGGAAGTCCCGCTCTGGTGTGAAGGAGAGGTGGGCTCAGACAGGGGGGAAGGTGAGCGTTGGTTGTGGGGGGAAGGTGAGCTCAGAGAGGGGGGGAAGGTGAGTTCAGACAGGAGGGAAGTTCAGATCTGGTGTGGGGGGGAGGTGGGCTCAGACGGGGGGGAAGATTAGCCCTGGGAGCGGGGGGGAAGGTGAGCTCAGAGTGGAGGGAAGATGAGCTCGGGTTGGGGGGAGAAGGTGGGCCCAAAAAGGGGAGGAAGGTGAGTTCAGACAGGGTGGAAAAGCCTATCAGGTGTGGGGGGAAGATGCGCTCAGACAGGGGGGAAGGTGGACTCTGGTTTTGGGGGACTGTGGGATCAGGGGGGGCGGGGGGAAGGTGTGGTCATGAAGGTGGGGTAATCCAGGGGCGCGACTGCATGGGCTTTGGAAAGGCACTGGCGTGGGCATGACCGGGCAAACTGCTTGCATTGGCGCCGAGGTGCATAGGCATTCGGATGGCATCGTAGGGATGGAATCGGCGCATCGTTTGCCTTGGCTTTGCGATGGCATTGGCGCAGGCATACATGGGCATGGGGAAAGCGACGAGACTGCATGGGCATTGGATCTCCAATGCGAATGAAGGGCAGTTGAGGGGGAGTTGGTGAGCTGCGCAGAGGGGGAACAGAGTGCATTCCACGGGGTCGGTCCTCCGCGCTAGGTGAGTGGCGGGTAGCAAGAAAAACAGCGGGATGTCTTGTCAGGCAGCGTAACGATTCATGCGTCGCAACAAGATGCAGATAGGTCACCTTCTATCGTAAGGTGCGTCGTCCGTGGCGCGGAGATCCCGCAGGGCGCCGCGTGACTAAGGGAGCTCCAGTGCTGAGTGTGCGCGACGTTGGAGCGCGCGAGGGGAAAGACTGACGCGTTGATGGTCCCGTTTCGTAGCAACGCCCTTATGGCCCTTAGCTGTGTGCCCGCCTATGGCTGTGCGTCTGTTTCTGCCTCCCCCTCATGGAGCGAGAGTGCAATGCGCGCACCCTAGGAGGGGTTGCGCTTCTCGGGTCTTTGAAATGAGGCGCCCCCATTACGCTGATTTGACGAGGCGAGGTTCCCATGCGAGTTGGTGGGTGGGGAATGCGGGGTCGTTTAGCTGGAATCCCCCTCGTAATCGGGAGCGAGAGCAGTGTTAGCTTGTAGAACGAGTGCTTTGTTCCCATGCTCATGCTAGGCTGGGTTGGGTTGGCGTTGGGACCCGGAGGGGGTGTTCGCATAAGCGAACATCTTTCCCTGTCCGCCAGGCTTTTCGCCCCGACGATTTTTGTGTTTGAACCCAATTGGCCTTTGCCTCGTTTTGGTTTTGTCGCAGTGCGCTACCCTGCTTTTGGTCTATATTCGCGAAGGCTCCCTAGCCAGGTTCGGGTCCAAGCGTCGCAAGGCCTCCGCGCATGCGACCTCGCCATGATTGGCGATATTGTTTCCAGCTCGCGAAAGGCCAGCCCGTATCGTGGGCCGTGCGGGGTATTTGCGAGCGCGAATCCTTCGCTTGTTTCGCCAACCCTCTTCAAGGTTCAAAACACTTCGAACCTTGAAGCTATTCTTGTTCAAGTGAAAGTATGTCTAGAACAAGGCATAAAGGGAATATAACCTAATGGGTTGTACTCCCTAAGGCACAACCCCTATCTAGTCTACAGAAACATACAATATATGTTTGACACACCCCCTAGACTGGATAGGGGCAGTGCCCGATGAGAGAGAAACAGCTCAGGGTGGCACTACTAGTCCAGCCTCTGAGGCAGGGGTCTAAAGACCAGTCAAACAAGTACAGACAAGGCAAGACCAAGACCAGGGTGGCACTACTAGTCCTGCCACTAGAAAGAAGGCACAAGGCTAGTCAAGATAATATATATATATAGGTCTGTACACAATCAAGGTCCTAGCAAGTGAGAGGCTACACGAATGAGACCTAGCTGTACTCAGTGCCGCTGATGATCTTTA